TATATATATATATATATATATATATATATAGTTTTTCGTTTTACCTCAAAAAACCACAACAGTCTGTTTCATCCGTATAGGAATGAGTCTGTTTCATCCGTATGAAACAGACTGTTGTGGTTTTTTGAGGTAAAACGAAAAACTATATTACGCTCTATCTATATGGTATTGAGCACTGTTTGTGTTTCGTAAACCAAAATCGTAAGCTATATATATATATATATATATATATATATATATATATATATATATATATACTATATATATATATATATATATATATATATATATATATATATATATATATATATATATATATATATATATATATATATATATATATATATATATTGGATTGTCCTATAGATAATCCTATAGGATTGTCCTATAGATAATATATTTCGTAAAACATAAGAAAAAATATATCTATCTATATACCTGGATACAACCTTTTTTTGTTAACGGGTATATATTTTTTATTGTGCATAGTATTGTTCACTCGATAATACAGCCTGTGCATAGCTGCTGGATATCACAATATTTAACATTGGGTACAGCGAAAAAACAGAACAACTTATTCAAACTAAAAAAAATATAACCTTTTCGTACAGGGAACAAATCACATATTTTTACTTCTGATCATGTTTTACTTTTAGACCTACTTTTTTGGTCAAAAACTGTAATGATTTGAGAGTCATAGCCAGCGGCATTTTCGGCGATGCATCGATACACAATCTCATGTCTTGACTGACTGTTCAGTTGTAAGGAATATTTTTCAATTTTCAATTTCGCACTTCTTACATCACAGCTTTTGCTGTCACACAAAAACCACGTATACTTCACTTGCGGTGGATTGACTTCATCAGCATTCTTCAATGTGCAGTTAATTATCATCCCTTTCCTAAAGAGATCACTTTCTGCCAACTGTATCTCAGGTTTCACTGTGAAAACAAATTATTTTAATTAACTAATTATATGAATTAAAACCATCAGTTTAAAATTTTACACGGAATAACAAACTTTATTTTTTTATTCGTGCATGCCTAGTGATATTTTTTTGATTTTTTGAGACAGTCGAATTTTGTAACTTTCACGTAATACGATCTTGTCCAATGAGGTGCAAGAAAACATGAACTTAAACCCTGGTATGTAACAAGGGTGTTTGTTTCACTTTGTATATAAGATAATTATGATGCTAAAATGTGTAAAGTTTCAGCCTATGGATAAAGCCCTATTAAATTACAGCAAGAGATTACATGAAAAAAATTTCACCCAGATCTGAAAATTGTCATGTAATCAACTGGAAATTCCAGTCCAGGTTGAAAAACAATCTTTAACTAGCTTTATTTTTGGTTGTACTATTTTTAAATGCAATCACAGACTCGCACAAGTCAAATAATAGACATAAACAACATTTTAAATTTCTTCAAAGAAGCGGAATGGCTCCATTTTGAGACCTGGTCGTTTCAGCCTGGGCTGAGATTTCATCCTGGTTTGAGCTGAAATTTTAACTCGACCCTGGCTGAAACTTGCTATGTAATCGTGAAACAATTTTAGCTCGATTAATGGGGTTGAAATTCAGCCTGAAAACTGAAAATTCTCCATATAATCAGCCCCTACAAAATATGTAAAACATCTAGTTTCTAACATGGTTAAAAGATCTACCTTTAACACTTATGCTGACAACCCGAGAGTTGTAATAATTAACTTCAGGACGACATATTACACACTTGTACCTCCCGGCGTTTTTCTTGGACAACGGATTCAGTGTCAGGGTTAGGATGCCAGTTCCATTGAGTGCAGATTTAAGTTTTGTCGAATATCCTTGTGAATCAAGTTTGTACCATATAATTCCATACAAATTGGTATTTATTTCTGCCTCACATGTTAGGTTAACAGCGCTTCCAATATCGTAGTATGTTTCATTTGGGTTCTTCTGAATCTTAGCTTTCCTGAAAGCTTTTCCTAGTCAAGAATAAGGGTAAGGAGCTGAAATAAGCCAACACATGCAATTGCTACAGCTTGCAACAGAGATGTCTAATATTTTTACACCCGTTTTGGAATGTCACACGCGGTCACGGAGAATTCAAATTGTTTACAACTTTGAGTTTTGTGGTTCGTTATCGTTGTATATGTGCTTTGTATGCTGTATATAAATAAGCAAAAACTTTATTTCATGAAGGAAACGTACTAACCATAATATAGTTATCTAACGTACGGCCCTCACAATGCTACAATATTTATAGCCTGCGTGCAGGCCCAAGGGAACTTGATAGTGGGCCTGCAACCATCGCCCGGTATTTTGAAATACGCCCCTTTTCATAACACGCCCCATTCGCGCGTCAATTGTCAAAAAAGAACCAATGACAGCACCCAAATATTAACAAACAAACTCGCATTGAAATGTTGCGGGGTTTTCTCTGCTTATTCAGAACACTAATAAACAATGTGTAAATGGCTGCGTTTTAACTCCAAAAAAGCAAGCAACGCAGTCAGTAATTGCCAAATTTGTAAGTGCTCATTTTCAACTAAAATCGGAACAGGCAAATTAGGACGAATTTCAACAGAAAACCAGTCTCAAACTTCAAATCATGAGGGAAGTCGGGCGACCACATTAGGATTTATATTATGTGTGCTTTGCTGTCGCCATTGGCATTGTTATAAATAAATTGTCTCACTTATCAGATCGTGTGTGCAATTCTTGTTGGCGGCGGAAAGTACGAAATTTATTTCATTTGGTAAAGAACTCTACAAAAGAAGAGAGCGTTCCGAGTCCAGATCGTTTCGTTTCAAACGGCAATTTAATACCGCCTTCTGTTTCGCTCTCTGCGAAGCCTTGTAAATCGCAAAGTGTTTCGAATAGGCTTACAGTTCTTACATGCAACTGCATCTCAACATCAACCAAAAGATAATTTTCTTGAGGAAGTGAGAACACATAACGTATCAACTGAAGTCTGTTTGAAATTAATGAAACTCAAGTAAAGGTTACTATAGTTTACCCCAGTCGTAATGTTGCTATTCCAACACCTCACGACAAGCAATCCCCATTGGCATAACGGCAAAAACATGTCTTCCTTCAAGTAAACAATAAACAGTCTGTTCTTGTTCCATTTGTAATCGAAAAAAGTGATCAATTTTCAAATTTTAAGCTTATCGAGAGCCTTTGTCTATGCCTTTGTGATGAATCACTGTTCCCTTGTGCCTGCACAATGGGCTAGGTTAATTAATTACCGATCGCCTCAGCTAGCCAATGGGAATTTAGCCGGCGAAAATCGAAAACATGGGGTGATGGTTGCAGGCCCACTATCAAGTTCCCTTGGGCCTGCACGCAGGCTACAATATTTACAAACATAGAAGGTAAGATTACTATACAATTTACATGTGGGAACAAAGTTAATTAGTAATGAATACATTTACAGTTTAGTAAATATTTACGATTTTTGCAAAACTGTATCCTGTGCAGACGTTGCTCTCGACGAAGCGCGCGCGAGAACGTCTGATAGTTCGATGAAGATTCCTTGACAAATGAAGATATTTCATTGGTTAATTGATAATTAGCATGCGTTGAAAATAACACAAAAATTTTAAATTCAGAGATTTCCTCGAGAATCAAGATTTTCTTCGGGGCGTACAAAGGTTTGAAAGATTTGAAATATATAATCTGTTGCGTTTAATTTTGTGCTGTATCGAAGTTAAGAAAATCAAGAAAGAATTCTGGTGTTTGGACACTCAGCGAACAATGCTGACAAATATATAAAATACAACAAACTATCCGACGGAAATTGTCAATTTATAATTGACAATTTAATTGACAATCTGTTTATATGTCCCGACCCCCCCCCCCCCTGGGACAAAGTATTTTCTTTAATGTGTTTAACTTCGTCTTATTTGGCCAGTTAACTTTTAATTACTTTAAAATGCACGTTTTGAATAACCAGTTGTCTTTATATTTAATACTTTGTTTTTGTAAACAACTATACGCCATATATTTACGCCAAGAACTGAGCTTGTATACCATACTTGCTGGCTATGATAATCGTTCAGCATTGTTTACATTCAAAACAAATCTCTTCATCGAGAAATATATATGCAATATATTTCTGGTGTATCGTTTTTCAGATTATGTTTCAAGTCTTTCAAACGTTTTTATGCCCCGAAGGAAATCTTGATTCTTGAGGAAATCTCTGAATTTAAAATTATTGTGTTGTTATTTTAAACGCATGCTAATTATCAATTAACCAATGAAATATCTTCATTTGTCGTATATTATACAAATAAAGCACTGTCCAATCAGAGGTTTTTCCACAAATCTGTGGAAAATCCACGTGACCAGAACAAGGAATCTTCATCCAACTATCAGACGTTCTCGCGCGCGCTTCGTCGAGAGTAACGTCTGTACACAGGCTACAAAACAGGTCTTCGAGATGGTTAGTAAGGTTAAGCTTATTGTAACTGTGGGCTCACTTCAGATTTTTATTTAGAACCCAGACTCCGCGCAGACAGTTTTGGCGCGAAACCGACTCACATGTATGCGAGCGTTCTTAGAGTTTACAGTTAACATTTAGAGACTTGCGATTTTTGATATTTTATTTCATATCAGGATGTATTTAAAGTAGACGTAATTCGTTTTACGTCAAGTAATTCAAGTTTAATATATAAAAGAAACGTTGCGTTGAGTTACTTGTCAGTTCAACAAGAAAGAACGAATTAATCCTGGCAACTGCGTAATAATACACGTTGATTGCGAACGTCAGGAGCTACACTTATAAAACGTTTAGAAGGATTTTCAAGATATTTTAGTGATAATTATTGCAAAATTTGAAGCCAACAAAATATAATATTATCGCTATAATTCGAGGTTAAATTGTGTTATTTTTCCAACTTTAAAAGTCTTTATTCACGTCTTTTCACATGATTTCTGATGTGATGGTTTGTTGTTTCTTTTAGTTTGCATATCTAACTCGTTTTGGTTCAATATCCTTCTATAGTGTAGGTATTGTCTTTTGTTTACATTTGCTATTTTTAGTAGTTCGTGTGACATAAAAAAGTAGTAGTAGTTCGTCTGACATTTGAACTGAGATTATTTTCGAGTAGGTCGCATAATTTTGAAAACTGGTGTAACATGCGTCGATTTATTTGCACTGGTCATTGTGCTATTTTTTTCGTCTTTCATATGCTGTAAAACATGTGTATCGTTAAATAACACTTATGGAGTTGATTCGACTCCTTGAAATTTACAGTGTGACTAGAATCTCTGAACGGAAACCAACATTAAATGGACACTTAACCTATCCTATACTGTGATACCCTCAATTTGTTTCTTTTGAGACGTGAGGGTTAGGCTAACACTAATTAACCTACTGTATTTCCCATGGACGCCCGCTTAATACAGGTTTAATGACATTATTATTATTATTGCTAATTTTGACCAAAGACAATTGTTTGTATGTACTCGAACTAACCGTTGGATATGAGACTAACCTAAGGAATAATATACAGCGCAAATACTCAAAATATAAAGAGATGATCATAGAACAAAAGAAAAAATTCCATCCGGTAATGTTTATTAACCTCTCAATCAGTGCACTCGGTGTTTTTGAAAAAGAATCTTCAGCTTTTATACAAATGTTGGAAGATTTGAACTCAGATAAGGCCAGTGTTAAATGTATCATTAGGAAAATCATTAACATTGCAATAAGAACGACATATTACGTTTCCTGTTCTAATCAATTATTTGAACGTAATTTTTATGTAAATATAAAGGGATCGCCGTAATTGGGGGAACCTGTGGCGAACTCCCTGGCACTACATTGTTGTATTTTTAGGTAGTTGCCGAATCTTATTAAAACATTAAAACATCAAATGTAGTAAATGTATAGTGTATCAAGTAGCCAATTGTAAATTACCTTTAACAGTGAGATTTTCAATTGTAAGTGCATAAAAAATTCAATAAAGTTTTCATTATTATTATTATTTATTATTATTATTTATTATTATTATTATTTATTATTATTATTTATTATTATTATTTATTATTATTAT